TATCGGTACACTTCCTATTATCCCAAGATCTGGTGGGAATATATCGGTCTACTCCATGTGATGCCTCTCCTATATAGGCTCAAAATATTGAACAGCGATGATACTTCTAAAACGCGAAATTACCATCCGATTTCATTTAGACTTGGTACATCTTAATATTTCTATCAACGCAAGATCTGTTATAAAGGTGGTAGGGATCGGACCATTCCTTCTGATACCTCCCCCACTAAGGGTCAAAGTTTTGAATAAGCAAAACGATTATAAAATCCGAATTAAGTATCCGATTTTTTTCAATTTCATTTCACATCCCATTATTTCTACTAACACAAGATCTAGTGTGAAGATGGAATATAACGGTCCAATCCTTCTGGCACCTCCCACACAAAAGGTCAGACTTTTTATTTCATGGATATTCCTAGAAAACGCGAAATTAACCTCTGATTTCATTTAGACTTGGTACATCTCCATATTTCCATCAACCCAAAATCTGTAATAAAGATGGTACCTTTATCAGTCATAACTTGCGAAACAAATCAGCGATTCTTTACAACTTGCTAGATATAGCAAGTTCTCTCTACCCGAAACCTGAGATGAATATCGAATTTTTGTTAGAAGTGAATATAAATGTTCGATTTTCTATTTATCATTGCAGTAAAGAAAATACATTGGCAGAAAGTACACATGTTTTGGCAAAACCGTCTGATACTTTTTAACTTTTTATACCCTCAACCATACTATGGAGGGTATATTAACTTTGTCATTCCGTTTGTAACTCCTCGAAATAATCATGTCAGACCCAACAAAGTATATATATTCTTGATCAATGTAAAATTCTAAGTCGATTTAGCTATGACCGTCTGTCTGCCTGTGTGTCTGTGTGTCTGTCTGTCAGTCTTTCTGTTGTAATCACGCTATCTTTCGAACAAATTGAGATAGGAGGCTAAAATTTTGCACACGTGTTTATTTTTCCAGTAGGCAGATTAAGTTCGTAAAGGGGCCATGTAGGTCCACATTTTCATATAGCCCCCATATAACGGTACCCCCCGATATTCGGTATTTTGATGATTTTAACGACATTATTCACCGGAATTGTTTCAAATTTGGTATTTGAGATTCATAATGGGTACTACAGACTGTAGAGTTCGTAATGGGAACTACAGTCTGTGACTGAAAATTGTCTATGCAGGTCCAGGTCTTCGTATAGGCCCCATATATCAGTACCTCCCTATATTCGGTATTTTGACGAGCTTAGGTACAATACCCACCGAAATTATTTGAGATGTCGTATTTGACGTTCGTAATGGATGCTATAGCCTGTGACAGAAAATTGTCTATGCTGGTCCAGGTCTTCGCACAGCTCCGATATAACGGTACCTCCCTATATACGATATTGTGATGATTTTAGCTACATTATTCACTGTTTATTTCATGTTTCGAATGTGAACATGGTAGTGGCTTATGACAAACGATGCCTATGTAGCTTCACGTCGTACAGAACCCAATATAACGGCTAAATTTTTTTAAGAATTTTAACAGAATTTTTTAAGGATTTTATTTTTCGAAAATTTCCAAATTCGTTCCAAATGGTGGAAGGTATTCAAAGGATTATAAGGAGACTTTGTCCGTAAATATAAACATTTTTCGAGGAGGGTGTAGCTCTCTGCCGGTATTTAGGTTTACTTTACGATGTAAGCTTTCAAAACGCCTATAAATGTGTCTTCTATTCTTAGCTGTACTTTTATAATTTTCTCGATTATCCTGTAAATATTTATTTGTGTTGCTCCGTGTATTAGTTCTAAAAGTAGGCACACTTACAGTTATTTGTTATTTTAATTATTTTATTGTTCGACCTTTAATTATGCATCTCGCTACCTCAATTTATTTATAACTCTTGGTTATTTTAAGAAACAAATGCCGTATCGCACACACACACACACACACACCAACAACGACAACTTTTGTTCAGAAAATAATTACTTGTATTTTAAATAGAAATATAAATGCTATATATACTCACACATACATTCACACTCATATAAGGCAACTCGTATTACCTTTATTAGGAATCGATGGCCGTAGGCTGGATATTATTGCTCATTAGAAGAAGTAGAACAGCAAAACAACAACAACAGAAAAAAGCTACGAAAAATAAACAAATCTAAACACGATATAAGTTTCCTGGATGTTAAGATGATGCTTCGATACCGAAGTGTGTTTATTTTCTTTTCTTTTGAGCTAATATCAAAAAACGAAAAAAAAAATGGCAAATACAAAAATAGGAAAAATAAACAAATTTCGGGTTTTATTCTCACAAGTGGCTTAATAAGTGTGAGAGAGTAATGTGTGATATCTTAATAATAATAATAAATAATAACAAATATTTTCAACAAATTTCACGCACACACACATACAATCATACATACAGGGTGAGATAGAAAAAAAACTGCAACAAAGTCAAAAGCAATAATTTTTTATTTTTTAAATTTTGTTGAATAAAAGCAAAAAATTTCGAAAATAGCATCAAATTTTAGAATAAGTTAAGATTTGTCCGAATTGGTCACCTTTGGCACGAATTATGGCCTTGAAACGTCCAATGAAACTGTCACACGCTGCCCGAATGTTACTCTGCGGTATTTTGGCCCATTCCCGGCGAAACGCTCGCTTAAGGTGATCGACGCTTTAGTATTATTTAGTGCCAACCTTGCTTTCCAAAAAATACTGCAGACACAATTGTCCAACGGATTGGTATCCGAAAATTTTGGTGGCCATTGTGCGCTGAAAATGAAGCGAGGAACCTCATTTTGTAACCATTCGTGCTAAGTCCTGTTAGAATGTCGAAGGTCTGCGGCCAAAATGTTTGCCTGCCCAAGGCTTTAATACACCCTCCAGAATATTTTCGCCATAATATTCGGTATTTATTCTGATGCCACGGTCGATTTATACGAGCGGGAAGCGACCATCGGCTGTTATGGCGGCCCACACCATCACCATGGCCGGCGCTTGAATTTTGGTGGCCAACCGAAGGTGTAAATTTTCAGCTGACCGACCTCTTTGGCAAGTAAACTCGATCGTTTTGTTTGTTTATTAACTGCTGGACAACGAATGTTTTTCTCATCGGAGAAAACCAAATTCGATAGTTCACCACTTTCGACCAAGTGAAGCAACTCTTTAGCTCTTTTGAGTCTATTTTCTTGCAGTTGCGGTGTAAGTTCTTGCACTTTTTTTGAATTTTAATGGCTTTATCCCGAGCTCATTTTTATACCCTACACCACAAGGTGATCAGAGTATTATGTCTTTGTGCATTTGTTTGTAACAGGCAGAAGGAAATGAGATAGATCCATAGTTCCTTTTGATGATCGCATAAAATCACATTCTGAGTCGATTTATGCATGTCCGTCTGTCCGTTTGTCCATGTATTTTTATAAACAAAGTACAGTTCGCATTTATTGCCCGATCCAGGTGAAATTTTGCACAAATCATTTGTTTGGCCCAAGGACGAACCCTATTGAAATTGGAGATAATCGGTAAGAAATTTAGATATAGCTTCCATATATATTTTCGTCCGATTTGCCTTTTATGTTGCACCAAACGTGTAATATCAGCCCGAATAGTATGGAATTTTGCACATACAACCAAATTAGGCCTGAAAATAAGTATACCAAATTTGATCGAAATCGGTTCAGATATAGCTGTAGCTCCCATATATATTGTTCTTCCGATTTGTTAGTTTTGTCCTCCGCAGCCGTAATATGCACTCTGTAACAACAATATTTGGGGAAATTTATCAAATACTAACTTCGTCCGATTTACCTTGGATTGTGCACAAAACGTCTAATATTTGCCCAAACAGAATGGAATTTGGTACACACGTCCGAATTGCGTCTAGAAGCTAGGATGCCAAATTTGGTAAAGATCGGTTTAGATATAGCTATAGCTCCCATATATATTGTTCATCCGATTTGTTGTATTTGTTACCAACAGCCGTAATATTTTTATATTTAGTCCTTTGAACTTTAAGTTATAATGTAGCGTGTATGATCGAATTCTCCCATAAAAACTTTTAATTGTTATGTGGAGCTCTACTAAACTAGCAAAGTGGTATCATAAAGTCGGCCTCGCCCGACTCACACTTGCAAACAATGTAATGAGCTATCACTGGAATAATTTTAACAGCTGTCGGACGAGTGGCTTAGAAATGACAACAGTCTGAAGTTGGTTGCAGCTTTTATATTTCACCCTGTATATGTCCAGGCTTCACATGAACATCGATCCTAAGACAAAATTTCAGATTTCAAGCACTAAACCAAAGTGTTCCAGCTATAGTAAAATTTTGAACAAATAAGTATTTCCAAAATTCCCAACATATCCTGCAGTTGGTTGCAGTTTTTTCATCTCACCCTGTACTCTTATTAAAACATTTTCAATTTCACATTTCAACAAATTAAAATAAACAAATGAACTGGAGATAAAAATATTTTCCAAAAAAATAATCCAATTGAAAATACACCAAAAAATGAAAAGGTGTCAATTAAAAACCAACATTTGAAAGAAAACAAAAGTAATAAATGATATATGATTGGCCTGAAGAATAAATGTTGAAGATTCTAATAAAATATAACACTAAAAAAATGAATAAATAAGATACACATAAATGTCCAAACAAACACACTCATTGAAGTTGTTCAAAAAAATGAATTGAAGACAAAAATTAAAGGAGAATTCTTTAACTAAATTAAAAAAAAAAATATATAAAAAGAAACAAATTTATAAAATAAAAAAACCTACGACAAAAATTCAAGAGAAATACCTTAACTAAATTATACAAAAAATCAAGTTTATAAAATAAAAAAAATTTACAACGAAAAATATCCAGAGAAATACCTTAACCAAATTAAACGACAAAATAAAAAAAAACAAATTTTTTCCAAAAATTCTTTACAAATAAATACAAATTATACTAAAACTAAAATTTCAAATCAACCTTTTCTATTTTTTTGCAGTTATTCCAGTGTCACCGAATTGAAAACGAATAAAAAACGACAGAAAACAAATAATTGGATTAAATTGAATTAAAATGAATTTGTTCGACTTCGACGAATCATAGATAGATAGTGAATATACTAAAATACCAAATAGAATGTGAACCATTCTTTAATGAAAAAAAAAACAAAAAACGACAAAAAAATAAATGAAATTTGTGAAAATTAAAAACCAAGCAGAAAAAATATATATAAAAACGAAATAAAAAAATTTTTGTGTATTAAAATAAAACGACAAAAAAAAAACCTACAATATCTATAAATACCAGTTCAAGGATTATTATAACATTTAAATAAACGGATTTTCACTTTTGATGTGGTAAGTTGGGAAATAAGTGCTTTGAAACTTTTTTTAGAATATACTATAGGGTTCATATTGAATAGCATAATTTTATTTAATTTGTTGTAGAAATCTTCAAAGTGCGGGGCCCTTAAAAAACATTTCGGTTATAAGTAATTTCTCCAATCTAACATCTATTTGTGCCCCCGAACTTTGAAGATTTTCTAAATGTTGAAAGGGCATATTGCTGCCGTCTGAGATGTCGCAACACAAAATTATATGGATTTTTATTTGAAACAAGTGTGAGAGGCTTTAATGAAGACTCTCGAGAAATAAAGTACCCTTCGGTTAGAAATTCGGAAAATTCAAAACTGATTAGCTTCTCGAAACTTTTATTTGAGTAGCGTTTTCCCACCGCCAACCCAATTTTTGTTATCCGTTTTTTGTCGATTCAAATTTAAAATTTTGTGTGATTACCACAGACCCGGGACGTAAGCGGTAGGCGGCACTGGGGCTTCTTTTCCCACTACCGAAATGGTTATCATTCACGCATTATACGGAAAATTGAGTTTTTTTTTATCAGTTACGGCTAAATAATATATCGAAATAACGGACCAAATCCATTTCAGAAGATTGGGAATCGATCTAGGCGTGTCCGTACGTACGTCTGTCTGTCTGGTTAGTACGCACGATAACTATCCAAACTTGGTAATGTTATTATCAAACTTATATGGAGTTCGGAATATTTTAAAATGTCTGCACGCCTGCCTTAATCAAATAAAGATCGGAAGCTAAAATTTTGCACAGATCATTATTTTATCTGCAGGCAGGTCAAGTTCGAAGATGAGTTATATCGGTCCACGATATCGTATAGCTCCTATATAACGGTAGCCCCTGATATTCGGTACTTGGATGATTGTAGCCAAATAGTTCAATGAAATTGTCTGAAAATCCACAAAAGGAGTTCCTTCTGAGTACTTTACCCCCTGAAAGAGTATTGTCTATGTAAGTCCACGATATCGTATATCCCCCATATAACGGTACCTAATTTTTAGACAATTCCATTGAAAAATTCATACTAAAAATTTTTTTTAGCACATTACTCCCTGGAAGAGAAATGTCTATATAGTTCCACGATTTTGTATAGCCCACATACAACGGCACCCTCCGATATTTTGACGAGTTTAGGGACATTATTTACTGGAGTTGTTTCAAACATCGTATTTAGAATTCGTAATGGGTACTACAGCCTTTGACAAAAAATTGTATGACAGAAAATTGTCTATTCAGGTCCAGGTCTTCGTATATGCCCCATATATCAGTACTTCCATATATTTGGTATATATTTTTTAGGTACAATATTCACCGAAATTGTTTGAGATTTCGTATTTGAAGTTCGTAATAAGTACTACATCCTGTGACAAAAAATTGTATATGCATGTCCAGGTCTATGTATAGCTCCGATATAACGGTACCTCCCTATAATCGGCATTTTTTATGATTTTAGCTACATTTTTTACCGGATTTTTTTTTTCAAGTTTCGTATTTGAATATTGTAATGACATATGATAAAATTTACCTATGCAGGTCAACGTCTTCGTATAAACCCCAATATAACGGCTATAGTCGGTACTTTTAGCATTTTACCAGAATTTTTGACGGATTTTATTTTTTTGAAAATTTCCAAATTCATTCCAGTTCGTGGAGGGTATTCAAGGTTCGGCCTGACCGAACTTACAACTTTTTTACTCGTTTACCAAATCAATAACTAACTTCTATGTGTTAGGCCCTGTAGAATATTGTTAATGAGAATTATATAGCGGTACCCCCAATATTCAGAATTTGGAATGTTCCAACCTTAATTTTCTACCAAATCGGTTCTCATTGAACCAAAGGTTAATTGTTTAAAAGTTATTTGAAAGTTTTTTGTATAGTCCTACCATAAAATTCAGAAAAATCCAAGAAATCTTTATAGGATTTAATAGTGCGTCCCATAAAATGGAATTGAATTATTTGCTGATTATTTACCTTACGAGTAAATGTTTTAATGTTGTCTTCTAATGCGTCAATCGAAGAGGGCTCGTGTAGTCATAAGCTTTAACGTAACCCCACAAAATAGTCTAAAGGTTCTGAACGTCGAACACGCCTCTCAATATGTCTATATGTGAGGCATGTATCACAGTCTGTTCTAAGTCTGTTGTAAAGCTCTTGCATTTTGGGGAAAAAAAAGTGGGATATCATCTCACGGTAGCGCTCACCATTTACAGTTACATTACGATTCTCAGCATATTTGAAAAAGTTCGGTCCAATGATGCCACCGGCCCATAATCGGCACCAAACTGTGACTTTTTCTGCATTTTGCAATGCTTCTGTCTAACATCACTCCAAAATCGACAATTCCGCTTATTTACGTACCCATTGAGCCAAAAATGGAACGAAACGTGATTGAGCTATTTGAACCAAACCAAAAAGTCACCCATTATAATACCCCCCATATAACTGTTCCACCCAAGTCCACGAATCCAACCCAATCGGTATGGTGGTGAAAAATTATAAGTGGAATTATTTGAATTAGGTCTAGGTCTTTTGACCAAAGGGTATTAAATTCTCCGTCCAACTTTTAATGGTCTGACCTTTATTAATAAAGGATTATTTTAGGGGTCCTTAATACCATACTTATATTAAAAACTTTCTGTTATAAGGTATTCTTCGAAGAAAACACATTTTCAGCCAAAGCTATTTTGAATCACCGCAGAGCCGCTAGACATAACAAAAATCAGGGATATCTTTGTAAAAAGACAATACCAAAACGTGAACCTACATCGATCGTTCTTTGCAAGGGGTAAAAAATTATTAATTTTTTTTGAAATTAAATTGAAATTACGATTAAAACGTAAAAACTAGTTGATATCGCAGTTTAAATTTTTATATGGGATATAACAAAAATTGGACCGACATCACCCATGATTCTTAGTGTCACCCAACTCTATTTAATTTCAAAGCTTTATCCTCAACTTTTTGAAATATGTTAAGGCTTCTCACATAAGATTGTTTTGTCTTTGTTCCCGGTGGTTTTTTGGACGACCTCTATTTCGTAATCCTTGGTGGTTCCATTTGAGGACCATCCTAGTTATATTGAAATCAATAACATAATACTACTCTATCGATATGAATATATCGTTATTTTGTATGATGCATACTTTTAGGCATTCAAAAAAATGTAAACAAGCTGTGACCACGACACAGCTGATACCTAAATGTGAGGCAGGAAAAAATAGTTTCCTGCTGCTATATAAATAAATTCTTCAACATTTTCTACAAAAATCGTTTCGTCAAATATCTACCCAAAGTACTTAGCGTCATCAACATATGTGCCAGCTTCTCGGTATTCAATCTTAATGTTGTGCAAAATTTCATACTGTATTATGAGCTTTTAATTGCAAGTCCCCCAGACCAAATGGGAATCCTGCGCCTTGTAATTATAGTAATTAAATTTTAATTCGAAATTGTAACACATTTTTGATTTATTTCAGTTCTCACACAAAACAAACATAGATCTGAAAGGGCAACAAAAATTTGCTACATTTTTATAAATTTTGTTTAATTAAAAAAGCGTAAAATTGTAATTAAGAAAAAGAAAATAAAAACAACAACTCTTGGCGCAATTTTGCCAGCTGACATTTAAGATTTCTAAAATTCCATGAGGAAATAAATTAACTCTTTGCATAATTTAAAATAACACCTTTAATTATATGATTTCGTTTATAAAAATAAACCGACCGACCAGACAGACAGACAGACAGTTGGCTGAGAAATGGCCCCAACAGCCGGATGGATGGATGGTCGGAGAGAAGACGATAAAACAAAAAAACAACAGAACTGAGTCAATTATGTTATTATCGTATTTTATGATTTATGATGGACGAATGAAAACGTCTCACTCTCTTGATGTTGCTGCCTGATGGTTGGTTGGATGGTTGGATGGATGTTGGTCGAGCGGTTGGTTGAACGAAAAACAAAAAACGACAATTTAGTTGATTACTTATGTTTGTCTCGATGTTTGACTTAATAAATGGATGGATCATTTAATTTCTATAACACTTTTTTTATATATATAAATGTTGAAAATGTCGAAAAAATATATAAAAATAATTTGTTTAATTTTTTTTTTTTTTTTTTTTTTTTTGTGAATAACGAACCGAATTTGAAATATGTCTAGAAAGGGTGTTAATAGTTTTTTGATATTTGCTTTTTAAATTAATAAATAAATTAGATTCGATTTTGTGATTTTTTTAAAGCCTCTGGTCATTGATAATTTTGTATTTGATACGGTATTTTATCAGAGATATTTGAGGTGTGCTTGAACTGAAGTAGCTGGGAAATGCCAGCAAATTTTATAGTCTTTAATTTTCCGATTTTCCAATTTCATACAATCCTTTGATTGCCTGCATATTTTTTTCAATAACAGTTCTTATACTCTAGAGACTTAAATACAACATGTCCGAGTAGCCAGATCTACAGATCTTTACATGCGATTGTTCTGAGATCAATAAGGAAATCTCTTTTGACATCTCATATCGAAAGGGAAGTTTTGTGTTACAACTCGGAAAAACCGAATAAAAATTCAAAAAAAAAAATAATAATAATAATAATAATAAATAAGTAAAATATTTTCGAACTGAAGCAGTTGGGAAATCACATCCATTTTTATTCTTTAAAATATATGTTTAAAATTAATGAGAACATTTTTTTAAATAAATGAGGATTTATTTTTTAGGACCTGGGGTATACTTTTTCATTCGGCTGGGTACCTTAAGAACTTATACAAGGTGGTGCAACAGTAAACTTACGATGTTTTTGGGCTGTAATTTAAAAAAAATTAAAAACTTTAATTCTTCTTGCGGATTATTTTTATTTGATCCTTAATTTTTTATATTGTGTCGAGAATATGATGTCAAGAAAATGGACGCCGTTTATTGTCACTTGAGCCCTTTTGATGGCATTTTCCATCACTTTGGCCAAAACATCCGGCAATAGGT